CAAGGAAATCGGATTGCGCAGGAGTTTGAGAGTTGCTCAGCCCCCGCATATTCTGCCCAGCCAGAAACCCCTTCAAGTTTCTAATGTTGATTGAACAAGGGGGTGCTGTTTCCTTCTAGTCAGGAATAGGGAAGTCTTGGACGACACGGAGCCGTGGAACTGGCATTCCGTGATCCTAACTTTCCAAGGAGTGTCCTCGAAATCTAGGCCCCCGTCATAGTCTCTTTCTCAGAGTTTGAATTATGGGACCTAAGCGCCGGAGCTCGGCCTACGAGCGGATGCCGCAGGTGGACCCGAAGCATTGCCGGAACCGTGGAGCCGCCGAGCCCATCGGTCACACGTAGGTTCATAGACTTACCCAGAAAGGAATTCGCCGTGATGTGTCAGTGATGTCTAAGGGATGAATGAGCAAAGGAGGGGGCATGACTTTCAGCATCCAGCGCATCCTACGGCCCTCACGAAAGCATGGCCTGCATGTGATTACTGATGTGTTGCTACGCACTCACTCCAGCGGTGGACTCCGGCCGGTTGAGGGGGTAAGAGCTTGCCTCGAGCTTCATCAACTATCAGGCTTGAAGCTTTCCTTTTGTTATGCTGGTATACCTTCAAAGCAACGCTGTTGTTTCCATGAATGCGGGTTGAATGAATTAGCTTGAGGCGTGCTTTTACGCGACTTGGGCAACTTGACAAATGCAACTTTCGAGTCCGGAGTCTTTTTGGAATTTCTAGTTCTCATTTGAAGGAACATAAAAGACGCTGTCTTCCAGGTATCTCTCAAACCCAAAGGAAGACCGAGTCCTGGACTAGCGTGATGGTGATGTCTCTTACCACAATGCCATATCCAAGGCGAGCCGCGCAATGGTCACAGGGTTGATAGCCGTGGTGCTCTCCGCAACTCAATTTCGCCTAGCGAATGCGACGCTGTCAAGTTGATAGTTATGGCGCTCGGGAAGCTTGACTGTCGGGATACGACTGCCGGTCTCTAGAGGATCAAGCCAGTGCCGACTTAAGAATGTCACCAAGTCTGATTTCGGCCTTTGAGAGTGTCACAATGTTGCTCGTTTTGGCTTTCTTTAGGTAGCAACATGGCGACGGCTCGCGCGGCTGGTCACATTGAAGTCTCTCTATCATTTCCACTGACCAGCGACAAGGGAAACTTTCTTGGTAAACTGATAATATAGGACCTTGGTCTCAGAATGCCGAAGTAAGTGAGGAAGACTTCTTATCGCGAGATGAATGTGCTATCTTAAGTTAGCTCTTGCGATCATGAACGTTGTCCGCTCGGCTATCACATGAAGTGCTACATGGTGTTAATACATATAAACGTACTTTCGAGAAGGGGAAACCCGTTTTATATGGCTATCTGACCCTATTTCCCTTATATTAACCAATAGTCACATGTGATCTCGAGATAGAGCAGATATTGAAAAAGACTGGAGACGGATGCATCGAAGCTGTCTAGCATTCGATAGGATATGGAGGTAGTTTGACGACAAAATGTAAAGCTTTGATCCTGGAAAAACGTCTGACTAGAGGGCAAGGCGGAAATAAATCTGACTTAATGTTCTCTTGCGCTTGGTCTATTCACTGATTTATGACATCCGACTACCTTCATCCGTCACACTCCGTGTATTGATATCAATGTTTCCAGAAAACAAGTGAGTAATGATGACTCGCCGGTATTCGATGGTGGTTCGATAGACCTTTTGATATTTACGGCGTGGAAATTTGATAGGATTCACTGTTTCGAAATTATTTTGTTAGCAAGTTCACCATCATAGTTTATGAGGAACTTGACTACCTAAGGTACAGGTAGGTGCGACGAGGAAGGGTAAACACAACTGCCCGTTCTGTGTATGGCCGGGAGTATACACAGCCCCACCAGCACCTTCCCCTGGCTGCGTTCTCCCTCCCACTGAGTCGGCTGTCCACGTGACATACGAACCCGCCAATTACCACAGGTACTACTCAAGGGTCTAGTCTTCATTCCTGTCACCGGCACAGAAGCGCCCGTCAAGCTATGTGCGAGGTGGTTGAGTAGTCAAATAAACAAATACTCTAATGAAGTCAGAGTTCGGGTTGGCTGAGGGGCGCGCTGTTCTAGTCCGGGCAGGGGCGTAAGTTATAAAGTAAGCGATCCCCAGCACTGGTTTCTATTCCTTCTCTTTTGCACCTTTTCCAATTCCCATCTGGACCTGTACGTAAAGTAGGTGCTAACCTACTTTACCCTGGTATTGGCGGATGAGATAATTCGTGTATGGGTATGTGTACTTACTTGCGTTGCCACTATCTACTGTGTTCCGTTCTCTCGATTAACTCCGTCTACGATCACATTTCATCAATGTATTGATAGTCGTTGTATCCGGAACTCGCCTCTTCCCGTCTTTTCGTCTTCAGAACGTCAGATCACACTAAAATCGACGTCAGCGCCACAAACCCCAATAAGCAGACTCGCGAGATCCTGCGACCGGATACATTTGGATGCTTGAGGCATTACATACTTGGCCTTCAAAGCTTTATTGCAGAACAATGGTGGTCTAGGTGGTCTGAAAAAATGTCTTGGGACGGTGAGAACTGGCCAGGGCCCAGATCGAAGGATTTCTACTTGAGCCAGAGCTTGCAGGCGAGTAGAGAATTAACAGATAATAGGTCATCAGCCTTGGCTGGAGCTTTCTTAAGTTTTCGAGCAGATGATCTCTGATGTCTCCATCTTCAATCATCTCTTGACCTTCAGCCTCGAATTCTCACCCAGTCTCATCGAGATTATATCTAGGCTGGCTGGACTGCTCACCAGCGGGAGTTTGACTACTACCAGGCATTCAACGAACATCTCACGATGTCCTCAGCCCAGCCAGCCGGAGGTTCGGGAAGTCAACACAGGCGGTGAAACAAGGCAGATCGTGGCTGATGAGGAGCATCCGTACCGAGTCCGAACCTAAGCCGTGGTGGTGCTCGGGCTTGGCGGGGTTCGGGGCTGTTGACCGTCCTTGGACCAACCGGCAAATGGAGCCACCGGGGACGTCACAGCTTGAAATTCCCCGCGGGTTATGGAGCCGTTGCGGGCTATTTGCGGGGGGCGGGGGAGAGCATTAGCTCCAGAGCCTCCAGTAGCTCGAGGCAGGCGTTGCAGGCCGTTCCACTTAGCGCCAGGGTCAGTGCCGGGAGTCGGGAGAGCTACCCCAAAGCTCTCCAAATACGGCAAATATCGCCGGCCAAAACCCAACAAAAACATGTTCAAACCCAATCGGGGGCCTGCTGATTGTGATGCAGAGGCAAGCAAAGCAAGACATTCCGAGCGCACGACTCGTCTGATTTATACATCACTGCGGAGAGCTCACCGAGATCTAGGGAGCTCAATTCATTCAATTGACTGGCCATCCCGCGCGACTTTTCCCTCCAGCTCTTGTCTCTCCAACTCACGATTCCCTTCTTTCACCCGCGACAATACCAGGCTCACACCAGCAGACGTCTAGCATATCAGAAGTACAAGCAGTCAAGATGGGCAAGCCAATCGTTCTCCAGCTCGGCGACGACATCAAGTGGAACCATGACCTCTACAAGGAATTCACCTCAAAGTTCGACATCCGCCGGTCTTACAGCATGCCGCGCGCCGAGTTCATCCAAGCACTAAAGGACAAGAAGTTTGGCGACTTCTTCGCCATCTACCGCCCCTTCTGGAACACAGGAGGCGAGATGGGCAACTGGGACAAGGAATTGATTTCGCTACTGCCCTCTTCATGCAAGGTGTACGCCAGCGCCGGCGCCGGGTTCGACTGGGTCGACACAGAGACTCTCGCGAGCAGAGGTTGGTTCCCCCGCGACATGGGCGCGCAAAAAAAACCATGCTTGGCTTCGTGATGCCTCAATTGGACCATGAGCCAAAAGCTGACCAAAGTCCTACTACGCAGGCATCATCTACTGCAACGCCGCCGCAGCATGCACAGAATCCGTCGCCGACGGCGCAATCTGGCTCATTCTCTCCACCTTCCGCCTCTTCTCCTGGTCCTCCGTCGCCGCCCGCTCAGGCGACCCGGACCAGTTCGTCGACGCCAACAAGAACCTCGGCGCCGTCTCGCGCAACCCCAACGGCTTCAGCCTGGGCATCATCGGCTTCGGCAAGATTGGCCGCCGCATCGCCGAAAAGGCTCACAAGTCCTTTGACATGAAGATCCTCTACAACGACGTTGTCCGCATGCCCGCCGACCTCGAAAAGTCTTCGAACGCAACGTACATCAAGGACATGAACGAGCTCCTAGCCACGGCCGACTGCGTGTTGACGGCGACACCGTTTGCGGGCAAGACGCTCCTCGACGCCACTGCGATTGCCAAGATGAAGAAGGGCGCCAAGCTCATCAACATTGCCCGCGGAAAGCTGATTGAGGAGGAGCCGCTTGTTGCCGCGCTCAAGAGCGGGCATCTCTCGGCTGTTGGTCTGGATGTGCACTACAATGAGCCTCACGTAAACAAGGAGCTGATCAAGATGAGGAACGTCGAGGTCCTGTCGCACAATGCTGGTGCTTCTCTGGATGCTCACATGGGCTTCGAGAGGCTCGGTATGGAGAACATTCTCTCCTTTGCGAGCACCGGCAAGGCCGTCACGCCTGTCAATGCCCATTTGATCAATAAGAGCCGCCTGTAACGAGGATACGAAATTATGAAAAGGGGGTTTAGATTGTAGTATAACCACGGAAAATCAAGGAGTTGCATATAGGATTAATTGAACAAATTGAAGTTCTGTTTCAAAGTCTTTGGTGGAATACTGCATTGTACTCTTTCTCAATTCTAGATGAACGGTAGTGAAGCATTGCTGACATGTCACAGATCGAACTAACGTGTTGTCCAAGGGCCCTAGCCAGCGATCATGAAAACGAAGTTTAAGATTGAGGAAGAGTCTCGTTACGTTAACGGCCACCAGCTATCGAGCTCCAGGAAGGCCATCTACCTCTCTTCAAAGCATCCAGCATCTTAACTCCTAAGCATCTCATCAGCATAATCCATCCCTACGCCATATGCTTCTTCATCTCCTCCACAATCGGCCCCTCCCCCCACCTCAACTTCGCCAACCACCCCCCATCAATCAACACATCAGTCCCATTGACATATCGACACCCCGCCACAAACCCAACCGCATCAGCAACCTCCTCTGCCGTCGCCGCTCTCTTGAAAGGATGCGCCTTCATCATCTCCCTGATCCCCGCCCCACTCGCCCCCTCCATCTCCGCCGCCAGCATCTTCGTCTCCGTCATCCCCGGCGCAACAAGGTTCACCCGCACGCCTCTCCCCGCGTACGCCTCGGACGCAGCAGCCGCCTGGACGCGTAGACTATTCGCCTTTTTCGCGATACAATACGCCGTGGCACTTACCCCCGCGATAAGCCCGTGGAGTTCCTTGTTCTCCAGAAGGGATGTCCGCGGCGCGGTCGCGAGGTGTCGTTCGAGGGCCGCGGAGAGCGGCGGGATCATGTGCTGGCCCATACTCCCCACGCAAACCACCGACGAGCCGTACGGCATCTCGACTTCTTTCCCAAAGACTTCAATCACGTTTGCTGTTCCCACTACATCCACAGCAAGAATCATTTCCGCGGACCCCATTGTCGGGCTGAGTGCCGAGGTCAAGACGACCGTTTCGATGGCCCCGCCCAGGGACGAGGCTGTTTTCGCGAGGGAGGCGACGGATTCGTAGGATGTCACGTCGACTTGCTGCGTCGTGACTCTGTGGCCTGCTTGTTTGAGAGACTCAGCGCCGGCGGAGATGGTGGACGGGGAGCGGCTCGCGAAGAGAATGTGGTGGCCTGAGCCGAGGCGATGGGCTGTTGCGAGACCTATGCCGCCGCCGCCGATAATGACTATGATTGGGAGTGCGTCTAATGCCATGGCTGCAGTGTTTCAATTATGTTCACTAGACTCGAAAACCGGAGAGAGTTGCGTAGGTCCTCACATATGGTAACTTTCCAGAGGAAACAGCTCGCGGAGCTATGGCCATTTAAATAGGGTCTCTTCAGGAATCGGAGCCTCGGTCTCGCTTTAGAGGCGATGGAGGTAAGATACCCAACTTGTCGAAGTTTGTCTGAAGCTTTTGCTTGGGATATGAGACGAGTTTACCCACCGGCGCGTCTATTTCCCAAATGAAGACCAGGGGAACTTCCATTGGCCAATAACATCTAGCAATGAGTGTTATCACCCAAACTTTAGGTTGAACTCTCAGAGTGGGAGGAGAGATGTATTACGCACACACCATCTCTCATCTGTCTTTCTTTGCTGTGAGGACCATGTCTTTGGGCTGAGAATCTGCCCTTTTAACGCAACGAGATTGTGGACAAGGTCCTGTGATAAAATGGGGCTTCTGAGCATTTTGAAGCAGAATAAGCTCACTATCCATGCTGGTTGTGATTCTGCCTGGCTTTATCCAAGCTTCCCAAGGTTGATCGACTTTTCGGATTCGGCCATACGGACTTCTGAGCCGTATATCCGCGGTCAAGCTGACATCAACTACATAATAGATATGCAGGATGTGCAACGAGGAACGCATTTATGTTCCCGGCGCATCAAAGAATCAAAAGGCTGAGTACAATCAGATCGCGCGCACACGGCAATAAAAAACTTTTGTGCAGGTTGTAGAATTCTTCTGCTGTCTGGTTTATCCCGAGTTTGTCTAGCCAGCTATCATCAAATGCTGCCAGAACCATCGGAAAAGGTATCTTCATCGCCCATCAATCCTCATTATCACCATTGATCCGCCCCTACTGTCGATGCTTCGTATGTCGCCCGATCTCAGGTTGAATCAGTGTGGTAGTGAATCAGTTCGGGAGCTTGTCTCCAACACACTGGTCCTGAGTAACAGCACCCATGTTCATGAGTCCCTCGCCAATGCAACCAGGGCGAATGGTGTCAGGCACATCCGCCTGATACATCCAGACCGGACCCTTCTCCTTGGGCGTGTCGTCGGGCTTACCATTGTAATACCAGTCGAACTCCATGTTGGAAACTCCACCCTCTCCAGCACAAGAACGGACCAGCTTGGAGACGTTCTCCCCGAAAGTGCCAATGACACCGTCCTTGAAGTTCGAGCCGCGGATGTAGAGCGCTCTCTTGCCCGGGACCTTCATGTTCCAGAAGTAGCAAGTGTTCCAGACCCAGCCTTGCTGAATGCTGTCGATGACGCTGTGAGAAAGCGCCACGCCGGGGGCTCGGTAGACAGGGTCTTGCTTCTCCATAGGCAAGGGGAGACGAGTGCGGCAGTCGGTGTAGACGAAGATGATGACGCCGTCAGGGACCAAATGTCCAGACCGTTCGCCATTCATTTTCTCCCCCTCGATCATCCACATTTGGTTATCGCAGGACTTCCAGTTGACGGGTTGTATGCCTTCGACGGCGCAGCTATTATACTCAAAGAATGTAGGTTTTCGGTGGGCAGTAGTCATGCCACCACTAAAGTAACATTGATGTTAGTAAAATAGGTCACAATCTTATCAGCGTGGGCTTTGGATGCTCTACTTACCAGACAACCTTCTTGACAGGAACAAAGGTGAAGTAGCCACATTCACCCTTCTCCAGTTCGATGTCCCACTTCTTGCCCTTCGCTTGGCCGTAATTGTGAGACCAACCGCCGGAGACACCAACCTTGAACGCCTTTAGAAATTGAAGCTTGGTGCTTGCACCAACACTCCAACCTGAACCCACTGACTCAGAATCAGTCATGCCGCATTTGATGGGAGAATGACATTCGGAACTCGGGAAAGGAACTTCTTGAGCCCACTCGAAAGTGGTTCCTATTTAGGAAGGACAAGTCAGCATATCTTTGAACAAGGCAACTTGAAACTTGAAAACAATAAGGTTCATCAGATCTGAACTCACGAAGCTGACAGAAGGAAGTGCATCCGTCGTACCACCATCTCCCATTGCCACCAGTGTCCCAGTTCGCACAGGTGTCAAACCTCATCTTGCCTGCCTTGAATGAAAGGAACTTGTTCTTGGGAGGACAGTCCTCGGCCTTATACTCGTAATAGAGCGTGGCGGGCTTGGTCTTGTCCGAACAGGGCTCGACGGAAGCGGCATTCATATGCTCGCTACTGGCCTTGGTGTTGGCATGGGAAGAGCCGTTGCGATCCTCGGGGCGAATGGTCCAGAGCGGCGGGTTCTCGGGGTCCCAGGTGTAGTTGAGAGGGGCGATGGAGGTGAAGTTCCCGATTTTGTTGTCACGCTTGCCAATGTTGAAGATGTCGTTCTCGAGGAAGCGCTCACGATCCTCTGGGCGCATGGTCCAGAGGGGAGGGTTAGCAGGGTCCCAGTCATACTCGAGCGGGATGACTCGGCCATCCTGAGCCGGGGCGCCGTCAACACCAAGGAGGAAGAGTGCAATGAGCAAGAAGATGCCCATCATGATTCCCTTTCCCTCGGGTGAGGCAGAGGCGAGACTGAAAGCTACCATATTTTCTGGCAGAGCAGAATGGTGAATTTGCGTGAAGGAAGTTGTTGATTGCGCAAAGCGGGGATAGAATATTAACTGTGAAGAATGTGAAGAGAACGAAGAAGTTGAAAAGTTTTTGTTCCGTGAAGTAAGGGGAAAGAAATCTCCAGGTTTGAGGTGCCTGGAGAAGAAGAGTGTGGGTTGGAGGGATGTGTAGAAGAAAGAAAAGTATCGTCACGCAGAAGCTTTGAAATAATGAGATTTTTGGGAAGGAATAATGAGCTAATTCTCAAGCGAGGCTGTCAGTGAGGGTATTCAAGAGGCTCAAAGGTGAAGGAGGCGAATACTCAAGGTGATTAAGAGGGAAGGTTCGATGTAGGAAAACTCATTCGCTCTTTCCCCTGTTGACAAGGCTGTTACTTGGTTTGGTGAAATTACCCAGTCCAGTTGTGAAGATACATTATGTTTCAACATCGCTATCTCAGCACATTCGCTCCAGATAACTAGCTATATGTGCATGTGTCTATCGATTGAAGGCACGACTTGGAGGTTGTGTGGGTAGTAAGAAGGCATGTCACTCCCAGATTTTGACTACAAATACGAAATCTCATCATTACGCAGCTACAAGGCGCATGAATACATGTGAAATCCTAGATTTCTTTGCTAGATGCATTTAAAGGCGCCGAAAGACTGCCTCATCTAAACGGCGTAGCTAGGATCCTACGATGTTGGAGTAAGCAGCTAGACACCAAATAATGTACAGGAGGCAACATCAATACAGCTCTCAGCCTCTCTCATAGATCCTTATCGGCTAGCTTACTTTGATGTTTTTATTCTTACTTGAACTTGCATCAAATACAACTCCTGGATGAAGATACCAACACTCTATGCAGAGAGCTCTACATTAGTAGCTGCACCAAGTTTGCTCAGCTATTTGCGTTTGTCCCTTGCATACGACTGAGGAGCATATGGCCATAGCATTGAAGGAAGATATCAATCCTTGCTTTGTGTTACTCGTGCTACTCTATAATAATTGTAGAGCTCTCTTGAAATCCTTTGCCCACCTAATCCTGAACATATTAATCCTTGTCGGAGGGGACGAGGAAACGGACGGCGAGAGCACATGCTGAGACTTGTTTTTGTGACCAGACTGTGAAGCATGCGTATCATCTTTTTTTCTTTACGCTCTCAAATGTGCGTTTTGTGAGCCTACAATACCTGCCGTGCCTATATACCTTACTCCGGCTTCGACACATGCTTCGACACATGTTTTTGAGAGGCAGTGGCTGGACCGCACCTTCCATAAGTGATCCCCACCATCACGAGAACCCTTTCGTCTGTATCCCTCCAACCCAAGACACAACAACCACAAGCCCATATACCCCCCCTTCCTTCCATTCCACCCACCAGCCAGCAGGCGCCCCCTTAGGGTTCAGGTCAAAACTGGCTGGGTGGTGGAGTGGTTGAAGTCCACGAACAGCCTAATCGGTGAAGGCTTAGAGGTCCCGTGTTCGAGTCCCAGCATGAGCACCAGAGATGTAGTCCCCATTCGCCACCGGGGGGATGAACTCTTTTGATTTTTTGGCTGTACTTTTTTTTAAGGATGCCACGCTTCTATATACACTGCAGCTCAACACAGTCGAGGAGCAGGGGAGAAGGAGAGTAGGCCATCTTCCGTCTCAAGTCGACCGTCGTGGCTGTATATGCTCACCGAGAAAGGTTGCCGAATCTGCAAATACTCATATTGACGGCAAGTCGGAGCCAAGGATGTTTGCTTGACGTGTTTGTATTTGTGTTTTATATAAGTATTGATAAGCCAATAATGGCCTTACTCATGTTGCAGGCTACTGAGCCTGTTCTCTCCCATCTACAGTTGACCTCCCATGGTCTATCCATCTCATGAGGACGCGGCCTCTCCCAATGCTGCTATGTACCCACTCGTTCATTACTTTTACAGAGGTGAAGAACACCCAAGGCATCCAAGCAGAAAGCCTTCCACGTCATGTCATATTCGGCGTTGAATCAATCCAAAATCATGTTAATCATACGCTCAGAGAAATGCGTTAGGGCGGCCACCGCCACCGCCAGGCTGTGACCGATGAGGAGGCGGTGTGGGTGCTTCGGACTCAAAGTCCGTATCACGTCCATCACTTCCTCTCCTAGGCGGCGTCGTGATACCGCGTCCGTATCTCGAGGCCTGCGGTGGGCTCGGGCTCGAGTCCACATGCCTCAATTTATCGTCATTGAACGAGTCCTCCTCATCATCCTCGTCATCATAGCGTTGCAAGGCAGGCATAGACCGAGAGTCTCCCTTAACAAGACCAAGTCGCTCCTCTTCAGTAGCGTTCTTGACTTGCGGACTGGAGTAACCTCGTGAACCAAGGCCATAGCGGCTTGTTGGTCGAAGCTGCGGATGTTGTTGCTGGTGATCGTCCTCGTGGTGCGGTGAATCGGCGTGATGTCTCTT